ATTTAATAGAAGCCCTGTATTGGGGAGTTGCAATGGTATGTGCAAAAGACCTTGGGAGATGGGGGGACACATGCTGCCTAGGAAAGATCAGATAGTGGGGTGGAGAGGGCGGGGAGTGAGCCTGCAGCTGCATAACAAGCCGGAAAAGCAACCCAGAAAGGATCCTCTCTTAACTTATGGCTGTGAAGAGATGGTGGGATATTTATACAGTATTTTCAAACTTGCAAGACTCTACAAGTAATCCTCAACTGAACAGGAGGAAATGCCTATGTAGGGTAATTATCTTCACCGCACAAAGTGCCTTTTTCCTGGATGTCCATGGGGATTGTGAGTCATCCAGGTTCTGGTTGTCCCAAAGGTGCTTTTTCAAGAGGCAACTGGATTTTCTTTGAAGATGTTGTGCACTTCTCAGCCAAGAAGCTTCTTCAACAACTCTGAAGAATTGAAGAAGCTTCTTGGCTGAGAAGCGAAATGTCTTCAAAGAAAAACACCTTTGGGACTTTCCCCTGGACGTTTGTCTTCCCAATCTTGCCTACTAGCCCTGAGATTTCTTAGTGGTCTCCCATCCAGGGACTAGTCAGGCCCATCTTTTCTTGGTTTTTAGTTTCTCAAAGGCATCATCATCATCATTAGGATGGTGTGTGTGTGTGTGTGTGTGTGTGTGTGTGTAAAACGTTTCCTCCTGGCAAGGTTGTTTCCTGCTTGAGCAGGGGGTTGGACTAGATGACACACAAGGTGTCTTCCAACTTTATTCTGTATTCTAAGGGTTCGATGACTTCGGACCAGCGGCAGCACCTTCGGCAGAGGAAAAGGTCAGCGGCCTCGGTGATTGACAAGACGAACGGTCACGTGGCTCCTGTCACGCCATCTCCCTCCGCCGGAGTGCAGGTCTCTCTCTCTCTCTTTCTACCAGGGCGGGGGAGCGAGAGGATAAGAGCGCGGGCGCAGCGAAAAGAAACTTCCCAGCGCAGCGGAAAGTTCGCCGAAAGAGTTCAATACCCGGAGTGCGGACGGAGATTCTTCGCTTCCGCCAGCTCCCTTTCCCTTTGCAGCGGAGGCCGCCGGGGCCGAATCCGAGACAACTTTTCGCGGACTTCCCCCCCTTTCCCTGCTCCGCTCTACCCTCACCTAATAACAAAGGGGGCCGGGACGAGCCGAGGGACCGCCCCGTTCGCCACCGCCCCTTTCCTCTAAAGTTCAGCTTGTCCGGCTGGTGAGAGAGAGAGAGAGAGAGAGGGAGAGCGAGAGAGGCGCTTCCCCCCCTCTTTCTCTCCTTCCTTAGGGCGAAGCGGCCGGTGGAAGCGGAGGAGAGAAGCGACCAAGGGGTTCGCGGGGCTGCAACCGAAGTCCAGCCGAGCGCGTCGGGCGAAAGTTGCCTTGTTTAATAAGCTGCGGCGGGGGGCAGTTTGCCTTTGGCGTTTGCTTCTCCAGGGGCGCTTTGGGTTTCTTTTGGGGAATTCGGGGTGGGGTGGGGGGAAGTCTTTAGAAAAAGAGCGAAGCCGCAGCTAAACCGCCACGGAGCGGACCTGAGGATCGACCGTCACACCAAAGTCTCTGCCTCCTCCTCCTTCTCCTCCCCCACCCTCCGGCAGGTAAGCTGGTGAATAATTGGCGGTGAAGGGGAGAAAGGGAAAGGGGGAAAAAAGGCAACGCGATTCCTCCAGGCGGAGGGCTGGGAGGACAAAAGGGCACCCGAAGAATTCGGTTCTCTCTTCCCACCTTTCTCTCCGCCGCCGAACTATAATCGATTCTCGGTTTGGATGGGGTGGTGGTGGGAGGGATACTTTCCGTTGAGTAATTGCTACGGGGTGGGTGTTGATCTTCGTTTAGGGTAAAGCCAGAGGTTGGAGCTGAGCAGATTTCGCTGCGAAGTGACAACTTTTGTGGAGAAGTTTTGCTCCACGTGGGAACGACACTTTGATTATTAATTTGGCTTGCTTAGTTGGTTCCAGCGCTCCTTTAAAAGAACTTCTCCGACTCTTGTTTGTTTGGAATGTCTTTCCCCCCTCTTTATCCTGGTTCCTTGTAGCAAATGAAAGAGGCGAGGTCTTTACATTGTTATCTTTGAGAAGGACCTTTTGGGTGCACGCTACTAAGCAACCTAACTCTTCAAAAGGCCCCCTTCCCTTTGGCATAAACTTTAGTGATCTGGCTGTTAAATGCTTTTTTTAAAGAATGATCTAGTGTTCTATTTGAGCACATTTTGTGGGATTTATTACCTATCTATAGTGTTGGTAATGGATATTGGAGACAGCAACCTGTAAAACTCAGGGCAGCCACTAGGCAAATCTATTTGCTGCCATCAAGTGATGCCCAGATTTTTGTAGCCTTTTAAAAAACCGCAAATAGCTTTTATTGGGTTCTTATTTATGCTAGGTAAAGGTTAGTTGCCTTTAGAGTCAAGTTTAAATCCTCCTGACTTTATGGATCTCTTCAAAGTTTTTTTGGGAGGTGGGGAGAGCTGACCTTTATTAACCTCTTGATACATAGTAAATTTCTGCAAATTGATTTCCTGTCCCACTCACTTTTTAGATTTCTTACATGTCAAAACTACTCTGAAATATTTATTAGGTTTCAGAAGAACAATATTTGCATGCATTTTTTTGGGAGTGGGGAGAAGGGTCAGGTAACAGTCCTGAGACTTAACATTAGCTATGTCATTGGTACTTCCTGAATTGTTTTAATATAGGAGGAAATACCACTGGAAGGGCAGCTTCTGTTTGTGATTGAGTTGTAGTGCATCTTTCCCAAACCTTCCAGCTTTCTTAGGCTTCAATTCCCAGAATTCCAAAATTCTGGAGTGCACCAGTTTGGGAAAGTGAGTGAAAATAAAGTGAGTGAAGAAGACAGCTGTTGCTTTCACTTGAAGTGGAAAGTAATTGCAATCCTCTTTATCATCCATCTTAGTCCGCCTCCTTCCTGATACATATCTGGAGGTTTTTTGGGATAGTCACTGGTTATTTTAAGGACGAATAGCATGACCTAATCTCTGTTGAAGTTTTCTAATTTAAAATCCTTGCAAGTTCTGGTTGAAAGTAGGGTGGAACCTGAGTAGGCATTAACTTGCTTGCTCTGGAGTGTTTGGAGGACCTCAGAAAAGACTGAAGCGGGCTTCTGTTTGATGGGAAAGCAAAATAATAATAACTTGAGATTCATGAGCTTGGCTCTGTTGTTAATTTTGAGGGGGGACGATTTAAAATACTTTCTGGAAGAAAGTCACAGCGACACATTTGAATGAGCAACTGAGTATCCATTACATGCTATGTGCTTGTAGAAGAGTGTGTGCACATCCAAGTTGCTTGCAGAACTGGAAAGGGCTGAAAGGTAAATTGGATGGAAGCCAAATTCTGTGCTATGTGCAAAATTTAATTTGGATAGTTCTGCTTGGTAACATAAATGATCATGATCTGAATAAAATTCTAAATAAATTTTCCCTATCTTAAACATTATTTCCATATCTTATTACTTGATCTGTGTCTTGTTTCCCATTGTAGTTGTATACTTATATTAGCAGAGATCTCCTGAGTCATGTTTTTATTCCTAGTATGACTTAAGTTACCCCCATAAATTCTTCACTTTATTCCCAGACTTTCTGAACTTTACAAGGGGTAGTTGTATAAACATGTATAGAAATGATTCTGAGCCCTTGAAGAAGGGTGCAGAAAATGATTAATTGTGCATTGTGCTTTTGCTAATGTATTTAACTCCTTTTTATAGAATTTAAATGAACAAATGTGGGGTTGATAACTAGTGTTTAGATAACTAATATTCCCCAATGTAACCTTGCAAGAGTTATCCAAACTCCTCCGACAGGCTTTGGGATAGAGAGTAAAGTGCTTTCTTTGCTACTTTTTGTTAGTAACAAATCAGTCCTGCCAGTCTAGACATTTTCTGTTTATAGTGCTAGTGATAAGAAAAAGTGTGAGGTTGCAGGTTTGTCCATATTTTTATGGAAATATCCACCGGACTCCATTCAGAGAAACACTCCATATGTTGCATTAGAATGTATATGGAATACAGTAATATATGGGTTCCAAAATAAGTATATTTATGTTTTTTGCATGTGTGTTTACATTTCAGATATTAATTTCCTAACAGCCAAGAGTGTGAGTTCAGCATGCAGAGATTTTAAATAATTCTATATCGTCATTTTGAACTGGGAGAAAAAAAGATGGCCCAAGTTTTGGATATTGATAAAGGATCTGAGGGAGGTAACAATGAATTTAGCAACATCATTAAATCCAGATCTGGTAAGTTTCACTTGCAAGTAATTCCCCCCCCCCCCCCAACATTCCACTGTAAAAACAAAGGAAGTGCTGTTTATTTGACTGGAATTGAAGGGCCAGTATGCAAGTTATGTACACGTGCTTGCTGATGTCCCTTTAAACAGGAAAAACTTGTTTAAGAAGGGTGTGATTCGGAGCAGAAGTGCAGGGCAGAGCCATTTAACTCTTTTTTTTTTGTCCTCTGTCTTTTTGCCATTATCCTCAATTCTGCTGCTCTTTTTCACTCTCTTCCAAACAACGTCTCATATTTGCAGTAGAAGTATGTGTATTATACAGTGCTTTTGAGATAAATTTCAGTGCTTCAACTGACTTTTCCAACCTGTGATTTTAACAACAACAAAAGAGACCATGTAATGTGTGTAATGAGCAGTTTGTCCTTCTCGTTCCTTTCTGATTCATCTGCTTGTCAAAACTTTTGTTAGGGACTTGAATCCCTGCTTCAGTTTGACAAACCTCTTGAGGCAATTGTAATGTAATAATAATAATTACAGGCCTCTGCTTTTCAGCGGTGCAAGTCAAGTCTGTTTATTTAATCTCCTTCCCACTCCATATTCCAATTGCACTGGGTTTTATAAAGTGCCATATGTCCAGTGCGCCTTTATAGAATTATCTAGCAGCTTTTGCTGTTGGAGGCTTGGAAAATGTACTGTGTGCACTATTTAATAGGTTTAAATATACTAATGAGAGTAAAGGCTGCATAAATCTCCAGGGGCAATTTCATGGCTCTCAACATATTGCCTTATTTCAAAACCAGAATGGTAGAGGAAGTTTTTGTGCACATTTTGGATGTGGGGATTTTTTGCTTCTCAAGGTTTCTCAAACTATATTAACAAGGCAGAATTGCTTAAATCGAAAACGTATAAGTGTAGGCTGATCCTTGCATGGATCTTGCACCATGCAAGGATCGGCCTAAGATAACTGATGTGCATTAATGTAGAAAATGTGGTAAAATGCTTTTTGATTCTTAAAAAGTAATTCTATTGGGTATGTTTTCTGTGAATGTCCTCTCCTTATAACCTGATGATTTAAAGTCTAAGCGTTATTTTTCACATCTTTGTAATGGTATAGTTTGGTTAAAATCCAGTAAGACATTAGTACAAAGTACTCCTATTGATTGAAATAGTTTTCCTACCAAGAAGATGTGTGTAAAGTTCTCTTGCTTCAATTGATTTAACCAGAAAGGAAGTGTTAAATTCTGTTTACAAACATCAAAATAAGTTTGTCTATCTTATTTATTTATAAAATTTATATTCTGCATCTTGACATCAGGTGACTCTATTAATCTTTGTGAATTGTCCTGTCCTCAGTTTATTTATTAGTTTATGTACCTGAGACATGAACCAAACCTTTGGGAGAATTTCTTAGGAAGTGCGATAGCTCATCAGTTTAGGATGCTGGGCTGACAATTACCAGGCTCATGTTTGAGACCCAGTTGCTGCTGCAGGACGGGATGAGCTCCTGTCACATGCTCCAGCTCCTGCCAACCCAGCAGTTTGAAAGCAGGCGACCACGTGTAGATACAGGAGTAACACTTTGATGGCCAAGTTCATGTGGATGAGAAAGAAACCTCCATTGCTACCATTCCCCCAGGCGATGGTGACATCAAACTTTTCAATCCGGAAGCACTTCAGTGCCCCTAACTGTATTAGTAGAAGAATTTATTGATGGTAAATTCTCCATCCTTTATAGTATATTAGGCAACAAATTAAAAACTTGTTGTCAAAATAAGACGTTTGTATATTTGACCTTTATTTTAAGATGTGCCAAAAAGTGTATGTGTTGAGAGAGGGCTAAAAATAAGAAAGAGGTATGGGAATTCCTACATAGAAATAAAATGTGTTCAGTATTTAACATTGTTATATAGAAGTTATTCAATGTCTAATTTTTACTGTAATAATTCTCTTTGGTAAATTATATGTAAAGAAACTGGCTGATTTAATAGAAATATATTTTTTTCTAAGTTGTATATTTATGCTAACTTTTCTGAAGACTCAGATGCACAAATTTCAGCTCTCAGAATTCTGAGTGGGCATGCTAACTAGGGAATTCATGATCTGCAAAGTATCTACATTGGGTGACCTCAACAATCCTTTTTGGCCTGGCATTTTCATATATATATACCTGGAGAAGGCAAATTAGTGGATTATGTTCAAGAATTACAGAGTATCTGTTCACTTGAATAATTGATAACTCAAAACTTCCTGTTGTCATAGTAATGATCCCTGGAACTAATTGGGGCCTCCAGCAAATATTTAACTAGAGGTGGCTCAGCAAAGAATATTTCTTAAACCAGGCTAGGTTACAGATCCAGCTAGGCCAGTATTGTCTGTTCTGCTTTCAACAGCTCTCCAGATTGTTGGTTCTCCTTTTAACTGATCTCTGACATTTTAAATTAGATACAAAGTGAATCAAAACAGGCAATTTTGGGGGGAGCAAATCGGTAGCTCTGTCATAAAACTATTGTTGCTGACCAAAAGAAATATTGGCTTGAAATCAAATATGCATAGCAATAAAAAGTCCTTTCTCTTCTGCAGAGCAGTCTTATCAAACACAGATGGTCCCTTAACTTTTATAAATGGCTTTTTAGGAATGCAGGGGCTGAAGTGGGAGAAGGAGCCAAGAAAACTGCAGAGTGAAAATGTTTTTCTTCTTTGTTTTGAAGCCAAATCATGATGTTTACAATTAGTATTTTTCAAGCAAAACCTAAACGGTTACAATCTCTTTGAAATCTTTGTACTAGTGACATCAGCAACAATCAAATGTACTTCTGGTATGTGTTTTGCTAAATTCTGATGTATTTTGGTACAGCTACATAACGGCTACAAAAATCCAGGTAGCTACAGGATGACATCACTGAATAAGAATTTTCTGTTCCTCTTGTCTGCCATTTTCTTATTGTTGGTTGTAGGAGCTATAGTGTGCCAATAGATAATTGAAGTTCTTGTCAGACAAAACTAAGCTGCTATGCTTGTTAATATTTTATGTTACTAATTTTGGATATTTTTTAAAGCAAGAAAGACCCGAGCCAGAGTGGTATGGAGCAAGGGTGGGTTCCGGCTGCCGCTACTGCTGATTCATTCAGGGATATGCTGTGCGCATGCGCGTGTGTGCTTTGTGCTCTGCTCACTCAGCGCAACAAAAAATGTTCTACATGTGCTCAGAAGGCAAAAACAAGGGCCAGATGCAACACATGAAGACCACACCCACACCAGCTCTGCGAATGGGAAAACCGTCGGGAAACATCACGTGACAGTAATGCGACATGGCGAGTTTGGCACCTGTGATTTAGACTTATTAAATGGGAAGAACCATTAGGAAAAACAATCTAATGTGTGGGAAAATCTTCAGATAATTTACAGAAGTTGCATGGGATATTTTTTTCAGGAGGAAAAACTGCAGCATAGTATATGACTGCGATTTCCTCATTCTATTTCTTGCCCTGATTAATCGTTTTAGTAGCATCAAACTTTTGCGTAAATTTGATTATTTTGTATGATTGCTCAGGAAAAGAGTCGTGTTCTTATGTAAGAACATTAGAAATGCTCTTATACAAAGTTACATCCTGGTGTTTAGGGGAATTTCCCCAAATGTACTTTAAACCCAAGAATTAACTCTGGGTCCTTAATTCTGCAAAGTGGAAACTGTTTCACTGAATGATCATCCTTTTGGCCATCGTTGAAATATATAGAACATTCTTGAGAGTACAGCAGAATCTGATTCATTTCTTCTGCAATGGGACAAAGGAATATAATTGGCCAAACATCAAATTTGGTTAATAAAGACATTAGAGTTCTCTTTTGAATAAAGTCTTCCTAGGATGAAAACCATCAGGCTCTGAAATAGATTTGAGAATTAGCTTTTCTTCTTCTAGCTACTATTGATACTTAATATTAGGCAGAGGTGTTCTTGGTCAGACAAAAGGCAGATCAAGGAACTGCTAGCTGTCTTAATTGGCTTCTAATCAAAAAGAACATTGTTTTCTCTCATTTTGCTTAGCTTGCATTCCATTGCAGACTTTCTGCTAGACTTTGATGTCTTTATAATAATTTTTTTACATGAAAAAACCATTAATTCTGAAGCAATAGCATATCATACCAGACTGCATCTTTAGCCTCCCCCTACATGTGTGAAATTCCCCAGAATGCTCAAGCTAACAAGGCCTTGTTGAGAATTCTGGAGGTGGAAAAACACACAGCTGAAGTATGCCATGGTTGAGCGAAGGCTGCCATTTTGCCTCAACACCAGAAGTGGCTCTATCCAAGGTCAGAGAAAAAATTTATGATCCTTTCTTAAGCTAGTACATTGATGTCAGAACCCCCTTCAATAATAAACAGCACAAATGTTTACAATTCTTGCATCGCAGACTTGCATCATGCTCATAAACTTTCCTTTTTTAAACAGTTTATTTTTTATGTTTTGGTTAAATACACCAGTTAAGAAAGTTTCATATTTCCTAGAATTAAGCCCTGAATAGTAACAGAAAAGTATTCTGTGCTAATAATAATTTATGATTCATTTGTTCATTCTTTTTACCTGTCCCTCCTTCCTCTGTCCACTCTTAGTTGTGCATTATATTAACACTCCTTTTTAATTTAAGGAAAATGCTGATAGGATGGATTGCACTTTTTATATATAATGCTGTTCATATATTTGACTCTTCTGAACAAGACATACTTTTGGCAACTGCATGCCGAGGGCTGGGAATTTATGCAGTGTTAGTTGTGTCCAATGGCAATCGATTGCATATTGCTTGGATTCTTTGTAATAGAATTTCAGTAGAGCCTGCAGACAGAATTTCTCAGTCACTTGTGTAGAATATAATCAAACCTCTTATTTCAGACTGTCATTTTGCCTGCGTGCTGTTTGTAAGTTGTAATGGTCAGTTGGAATGACCTTGGGAGATGGGGAAGAGATGCTGCCTAGGGAATGATCAGATGAGAGAGGCCTTAGCCTATGTATGAGCC